GCTCGTCCTCCTCCTCCTCCTCCTCCTCCTCCTCCTCCTCCTCCTCCTTTCCTCCTCCTCCTCTTCCTCGCCCAATCCTCCTCCTCTTTCTCCTCCTTTCCTCCTCCTCCTCCTCCTCATCCCCCTCCTCCTTCTCCTCCCCCTCCTCTTCCTCCTCCTCCCCCCAAAGCTTGCGCAGTCAATGTCATCATACTTCTGCTCGCCCCTTTCCTGCTTCTCCCGTCGCTCCCCCCTTCTTCCTTTTAGTCCTCGTCCTCCTCGTGTTCCCCCCCCCCGCCTCCCCCTCCCCCGCCTCCTCATCATTCTTCTGCGCCCTGCCTGTTTCGGCAAGGGCCGCGAATGTGCATTCGCACCCGGGCGTGCCCAGGCTGACCCACGAAATTCAGTTTGACGGCTTCCCCATCAATTTCTCTTCGTTACACGGAATGTTCTCGCACTTCCCTGATCAAGACATTTCGCCTGGGTACTATTGCTGGGTGGACCGTGATGGATACGAACAGTAACGAAACCAACTACGCGATCAACTGCGAATGAAACTACACACGGAACTCCCCACAAACATGTTTCGCACGTGGCGTTCATCGTGCAACAACACTTCCAGAAGGGCGAAAGAGGCGAAGCCTTCCCACAATAAAATCACGATTTCTGAATTCAAGCACACACAGTCCTTCAGGGCAAAAACAACAACAAACCATAATTCTGGATTTTCCCAACCATGCCATCGGACAAAAACGTAATTTTGAATATTACATTTTAGTTGTGCCCCCCGGCCTGGCTGTTAGCGTTTTTGGGTGGCCCCCCCTTCCTGTAGACGGCCCCCTCACTAAGGCATGCTCAGCTGGGTGTCTCGAGCGAAACGCTGACTGTTGAACAACAATGTTGAAAACCCCTGGGCTGTTTAATGATTTCGCTTCTTGGGCCATCACAGAGGTCCTCCGAGAGCGCTCCAAAAAGATGTCTGAACAGGGCTCTTGGCGCATCCCATGTGTTCGAGGATGTCTCATGCGAAACGGCGATGTGTGGAGGACCGAAGATTAGAACAGCGATTTCAACAGATACGACCCCTCGAAATCACGATTTGACCAGGATGACTCAGGCGAAACGCGCATTCTTGGGAACCGTTCTTGACATGAACGGGAAGCGCGTGAAATCGAAGAGCTTGGCAAGAACCTGCATCAAAATAGAAGTCACATGTCGCATAAGCGCTCTTCCCGAACGTCCACAAGGGGTACCAGGTGGAGTTCACTACCCGCGCAAGTTCAAGCGCGATGCTCACATCGAACGTACACAAAGGGTACCATGTGGAGTTCACTACCCGCGTAAATTCAGACGTGGCGCTCGCCCCGAACGTCCGCAAAAGGTACCAAGTGGAGTTCACTACCCGCGCAAGTTCAGACGTGCCGCTCAACCTGAACGTCCATATACCAGGTGGAGTTCTCTACCAGCGAAAGTTCAGGCGAAGCCCCAGAATGTTGAAAAACACATTGGCGTTTGACAAATGTTCGAAGCCCAACCCTACAGACCCTAACCCTACATACCCTGAACTGCATCGGTCGTAAGTGTAGTGGTCGTCGTCGTCGTAGTGGCAGTGATCGTAGTAGTAGCCAACGTGAAGATTGAGCGACAGCCACCAGACGGGGCGCCCACGAGGCGCCCACACCGTCGTCCACCCAGCAAAAACCCGAGGAACCCACCCCTGGTGGGTTCCCGGGTGCGAAGTGACTCAGTTTACACCAAAAAATAAATTTATCCTGGCGAAGAACTCAACCATATGCAATTTTGAATCGCAATTGTGAGCCCCGCCTTCCGTGGAGCACCATGGGGCCACAAAACGCGTGAGGTGTGCCGAAATCGGCGCGGTGGAACCATGCGACCCCTGCCAGTGGGGCTTTCGGTGGAGCTCCGTATAGGGCACGAAACGTGCAAGGGGTGTGCCGAAATCGGTGCGGTGGAGCCATGCGAGCCCTGCCATTGGGGCCTCCGGTGGCGCTTCCTGTCGGGTCACGAAACGTGTGAGGGGTGTGCCAGAATGGGGCGGCGCCGCCATGCTGACTGCGCCACTGGGACCAGGCGGCGCTCCCCATGGGGCCACGAAACGTGGGAGGGGTGCGCCGAAATAGGGCCGGGCCGCCATGCAAACTTTGCCACTGGGGCCTTCGGTGGAGCTCCCCATGGGGCCACGAAAAGTGGGAGGGGTGCGCCGACATGAGGCGGGGCCGCCATGCGAATCCTGCCACTGGGGCCTTCGGTGAAGCTCCCTATGAGGCCACGGAACGTGTGAGCGGTGCGCTGACATGGGGCGGGGCCGCCACGCGAACTTTGCACTGGGGCCTTCGGTGGAGCTCCCCCTGGGGCCACGAAACGTGTGAGCGGTGCGCCGAAATGGGGCGGGGTCGCCACGCGAACTTTGCCACTGGGGCCTTCGGTGGAGCTCCCCATGGGGCCACGAAGCGTGTGCGGGGTGCGCCGACATTAGGCGGAGCCGCCACGCGAACTTTGCCACTGGGGCCTTCGGTGGAGCTGCCCATGGGACCACGAAACATGTGAGGGGTCCGCCGAGATGGGGCGGGGCCGCCATGCGAATCCTGCCACTGGGGCCTTCGGTGGAGCTCCCCATGGGGCCACGAAACGTGTGAGGGGTGAGCCGAAATGAGGCGGGGCCGCCATGCGAACTCTGCTTCTGGGGCCTTCGGTGGAGCTCCCCATGGAGCCACGAAACGTGGGAGCGGTACGCCGACATGGCGCGGGGCCTCCATGCGAACTTTGCCACTGGGGCCTTCCCATGGGGCCACGAAACGTGTGAGCGGTGCGCCGAAATGGGGCGGGGCCGCCATGCGAATCCTGCCACTGGGGCCTTCGGTGAAGCTCCCTATGAGGCCACGGAACGTGTGAGGGGTGCGCCGACATGGGGCGAGGCCGCCACGCGAACTTTGCCACTGGGGCCTTCGGTGGAGCTCCCCATGGGGCCACGAAGCGTGTGCGGGGTGCGCCGACATGGGGCGGGGCCGCCACGCGAACTTTGCCACTGGGGCCTTTGGTGGAACTCCCTATGGTGCCTCTGGTCTCTCGCGAAACGGTACGAAATTGTGTCGTGGGTTGTCCTGTGGGCTGCCCTGTGGGATGCCCCGTGCTTGTCCCGTGGGTTGCCCCGTCGGCTGTCCTATGGGTTGCGGTTCGCCCCGTGGTTTGTCCCGTGGCGTGTCCCGTGAATTGTCATGTGGTTGTCCCGTGGGTTATCCCGCAAATTGTCCCGCGGGTTGTCCAACGGGTTGTCCTATGGGCTGTCTGGTGACTGATCCCATGGGTTTCTGTGAGCTATTCCGTGGGCTGTCCCGTGTGTTGTTCAATGGGCTGTGCTGTGGTTGTTCCGTGATTGTCCAATGGATGTCGCGTGGGTTGCCCTGTGGGTTGCCCCGTGGGTTGTCCCGTGGGTTGTCCCGTGGGTTGTCACATGGGTTGTCCCGTGGATTGTCCCGTGACTTATCTTGCGGGTGATTATGTGGTTGTCCCATGGTTGTCCCTTGGGTTTCCCGTTGGTTGTCCCATGGTTGTTCGACGGGTTCTCCCTTGGGTTCGTTCTAAAAGAATGTTCCGTGGCGTGTCCCCTAACTGCTCCAAAACTCGTCCTGCGGATGTTCCGCGAAATGTTCCGTGAGTTGTGCTGCAGGTGTTTGTCCCATAGTTGCCCCATAACTGTCCCGCAGTTGTTCCTTCGCAAAGAATATGCACTGCAAATCGAACTGCAATCGAAATAGAAATCGAAACTTAAATAAACATGCAATCCAAGTACCCACAACCCAGGTACGTCTCAAAACTCTGCTGAAGCTCTCTTCAACCTTCTTGGCGTCCTCAGGGGCAGTATATCGGCTCTCCTCGACAGGTAGCCAAATCTGCAAAGATCTCCTCGAGGACAGTCTTGTCTGCCCTACTGTTCCCCCTGGGCACGAGCACACCACACCGTAGCCACAGAGATGCGAAACTGGCTGGCGGAGTGAGCGAAGCGATTACATAAACATGCAATCCAAATACAAATCGAAATGCAAGTGCAAATGAAAATCCTACTGCAAATCTAATGCACAGCGCAACGCAGTGCAACTGCAATTGAACTGCAAATCGAAACGCAAATCGAAAAGCAAGTCTGCTCTCACAACCTCCTCATCCTCATGAGACAGCAAAACATGTGAGAGGTATGCCAGAATTTGCGGGGAAACCGTCGGTGGAGCTCCATGCGGGGTCGCGAAAACCGTGAGCGGTGTGCCGAATGGGGTGTGGGGGGAGGGCGAATGCGAGACCCTACCGCTGAAGCAATCGGTTGAGCCCCCTCTGGGGCCACGAAATGTGTGAGGGGTGTGCCGAAGTGGGCGAGGGGACCACACGCGAGACCTTGCCACTGAGGCCTTTGGAGGAGCTCTCACCGGGCCACGAAACGCGTGAGGGGTGTGCCGAAACAGGCGAGGGGACCGCGTGCGAGACCTTGACACTGAGGCCTTCGGAGGAATTCCATGTGGGGCCCCGACCAATGCAGGGCTGTGCCGGAGTGGGCGGGGGGGCGCATGCAACACCATGCCTCTGAGGCCTTCGGTGGATCTCACTGTGGGGCCACAAGATGTATGAGGGATGTGCCGAGATGGACACGCGGAGGCTGCCCGATGGCCTCATGACGAATCAGATCCTTGCCTCGCCATTCCCCTTCGCATCCTAACATCGACGAGATGTAAAACTCGAGCTTGCGGGGATCAAGTTGGCCTGACGGGGCCGCCTGAAATTCGACGTGAGTTACTCACCGTTGCAAACATATCGCGGAAACTGAACCAACAGAACTCGCGCCAGGACCACCATAGCGGCGGCAAAGCTGAGTTCTGGCCAATTCGAGTCCTACTTTTCCCGACAGAGACACGGCAGCAGCGCGCCCGTCTGGCAAAGGTCAGGCTGCGACATCAGCGGCGCACAACCTCGTGCCGCATCCTCCGCAACAGCGTACGCCTCACGACGCTGTCGCGTCAATACGCGGCAAGGGCCATGGCGTGAGCGCACCTCTCCTCGGGGGTCGTGGCCGTGGCGTCCGTGTCACCCCCGAGGAGACCGCCGACTGGATGTTGGGCCTTCCCAAGCTTCCTCGCGTAAACGTTGAGGTACTCGAGACCCTCGCGAGTCTTACCGTTCACCACTTTCACGTCGATCCTGCCGAATCGCGTCCACGCCATTCTGTTGGGCCTGTCGCTCGACTTCGCGAAGAAGGTTATCCTCGAGGAACAAAAACCGAACTGAACATCAACTTTCGGCGCTCCGCGCATGCTTCTTGGATCTGCGCAGGACCCCCTCCCTGGCGCGCGGAGCGCGCCAGAGGCGGCGTCGGAGGGGCCGCCAGGGGAGGCCCGACGCAGATCCAAGGAATCCGTGCGGAGCGCCGAAAGTATATGCTTACGCCCTTTTGCGTCTTCGATGTCCCAGCACTCTGGTTCGTCCAAGCCCCAGATATTCTCACAGTCTGGAAAAACACCTCAGAGCACGCATCGCCCAGGCGCCTTGCGTCGGCCTCCAGATGCAGCAGCGTATCCTGCGGACCCACCATTCGCGGTATCTGCAACAGGATGATAACCCCCGTCCTGTAGACGTCAAACCGCTCGCCATACATGTTGGTGAGGTGGGGGTCGCCCACGCCAGAGACTGGGCCAATGTTGGGGCCACTGTTTGGTGGGAGTTCTGGCGTCGGTGCCTGGGTCGTCCAAGCTCGCGTCTCGCGCTGCGCGAACAGCGGTCCTCTTCGCGCTCTCGCGCCACCCCCCTTGAAAAGTCACGGATGAACAGAAGGAGGAAGAAGACGAGCACGAGCAGGAGAGGGAGGGGCAAACGGGGTAGCATGATGAGAATAAGGGGGAGAAGGCGGAGGATGAGGAGGCCGCAGCGAAGCCTCGAAACCAAACCTTGAAAATCGTCGTCGGCGTCATCCGTCGTCCGTCGTCCGGCGTCCGGCGTTCGGCGTCTGTGAGTCCGTGCGTCCGTGCATCCGTATGTCCGTGCGTCCGTGCGTCCGCGCGTCCGTGCGTCCGTCCGTCCGTCGTCGTAGTCGTCGTAGTCGTCGTAGTCGTCGTCGTCTTCGTCCTTCATGGTCGGCGGCACTGGCCGCAAGGCCTTCACAAGAAGGGGGAGAAGGCGGAGGATCAGGAGACCAGAGCGAAGCCTCGAAACCATGACCTCGAAGGAAACGAACTGAATGCACTGCAGGGACTTGCAACTGGATTCCCAGCGACCAAACAACTCAGCGAGACGCTAGACTTCGTGGGCGACGTGGCTGCCAAAAACTGACCCAGGGGGAAGGAGAAAGAAAGGCATAAAATCAGACAGCAAAACACAGAAAAGGCTCGCGCGTGCGTCAACCGTCCTGGGCGAACGGCACTCGCACAGAGCCCCTCGCAAGCACAAGTGAGTGAGAAGAGAAAGAGGAGGAGGAGGAGGAGGAGGAGAAGGAAGGGCGAAATGGCAAAGGGTAGGATTAGGAGGACGAAGAATATAAAAACATAAGTGTACCCCTCCAGAGCTAAGGTTGTTCTGAACAATCGTCCCAGCTGCAACATTTCGGAGGTCCGCGCGGATTTCTTGGGCCGGCGAAGACCCCCCTTCCCCACGATCCTGGCGGCGCGTCCGGCGCAGCGCGCGGGAGAAAGAACGGGGGGGGGGATGGTGCGGCGCATCGTTTGTGCGATTTGACCAAGCCGTTTTCTGCGCGCGTGACGGCTCTCAGGGATCTGAGGATACGACGCGACGCATCTTTACACATGCGTCGCCCACCCTCCTTTCCCTTCCTCCTCAAACGATGCGCCCTACGGGGGGGGACCCCAGAGGTTTCTGTGAAGTGTGTAATGATTTGTTGTGCTGCCTCTGCCCTCCTACGCCCCCTGGACCTGTCTGCCGGGGCGTGTTCCGACCTGTATCTCGAGGCGAATGCAGCCGTGGCGACGAGAAAGCTCCGCAAGGCAAGAAGGAATAGCGCGATCGTCCAAGGAAAGACCAATACTCCGTTCTCCTCTTCCTCCTCCTCCTCCTCCTCCTCCTCATCATCATCATCATCATCAGCATCATCATCATCATCAGCATCATCATCATCATCATCATCATCATCATCATCAGCAGCAGCATCATCATCATCAACATCAGCATCATCATCAGCAGCATCAGCATCATCATCATCATCAGCATCAACAGCATCATCAGCATCATCATAGTCATCGTCATCGTCATCATCATCATCGTCATCAGCATCATCATCAGCATCAGCATTATCATCATCATCATCATCATCATCCTCATCATCATCATCATCATCATCATCATCATCATCATCATCATCATCAAGATCATCATCAGCCTCATCGGCATCACCAGCATCAGCATCATCAGCATCATCATCACCACCACCATCACCATCACCATCATCTTCCACCATCAGCAGATGTTCAGCCCCATCCTTACCGTCATTCACATTATACTCATCATCATCAACATCGTCATCACCATCAGCATCATCATCAGCAGCATCATTATCATCATTAGCATGACCATCATCATCACGATCATAATCAGAATCATCATCATCACCATCAGCATCATCATCATCATCATCATCATCATCATCATCATCATCATCATCATCATCGTCAGCATCGTCATCGTCATGAGCATCATCATCATCCTCATCCTCATCCTCATCCTCATCATCAGCAGCAGCATCACCGTCGCCATCATCATCATCCTCAGCATCCTCCTCCTCCTCATCATCATCAGCATCAGCATCAGCATCAGCATCAGCATCAGCATCAGCATCATCATCATCATCTTCATCATCATCATCATCATCATCATCATCATCATCATCACCATCATCATCATCATCATCATCATCATCATCACCATCACCATCACCATCACCATCACCATCACCATCATCATCATCATCATCATCATCATCATCATCATCATCATCATCATCATCATCATCGCTTTGTCTCAACATCCTCTGCCTCACCCCCCTCCCCGTCCCTCGAGCCGGCGTGGGTACAACCACGGTCGGGCTGGCCATGACCACGGCCGTCATCGACGGAGCGGTGACGATCAACGGCTCGCCGCTCCAGTCGGCGACAGCCATGGCATTGTCAGTGTGGACCTTGACGGCGGAAGAGGCTCCAGCAATCGTGGTGGAGAGGGCGGTGGCAGTGCTGATGTCAGCAGCCTCCACCTCGAAGCTGGTCAACACAAGGACTGCGCCGTCGGTGAGCTCCACCTCATCAAAGCCCAACAGCTGGCCGGTAGCAACGTGGAGCCGGCGAACACCCAAGGTGAAACCTGTGATGGTGATGTCGGAGGCGGGCACGGACAGAGCGGAAGCTAAGCCCTCCTTCTTGGCAGCCTTGTAGACAGTAGAAGCCATGAGGTCAGACGCAGTCACGCCAAGTGGAAGAATTTCGTCCGCGGAGTACTCGGCAGCAACCTCAAACTGGGCAGTGGCAGCATGTCGAATGAACTGGTTTCGGGATACTATGGTAAATAACAGTCAACAGCACGACCGAACCGGCAGGCACTGAAAAACATGTGATCTGGACAGTGACAATCAAGTGTTCTGCCATCGCGCAAAGACAGGCATGTTTAGAATGCCTGGTACCAGTCTGGCAGGGTGTTTGTCTTTGTTCCTCTCTGGGGGCGAAGCCCCCCACATCCCGCGCGCGAGAATGAGCTCGCGGTCCCTGCGTTTTGCTGCCCAGTCCTCGTATCGGCCCGAGGACGACCCCAAGGAGGCCCAAGACCACCTCATGATGGCTGCAAGCTGACCCAAGACCAGCGCAAGACAGCCGAGACCGCCAAGAGGCTGAAAGAGCTACTAGCAAGCCCCAAGAAACCCCGATCAGGCCCCTGAGAAGCCCACCAGCAAGGCCATGAGTGGCTAAACATACTCCAGTGTCGCTTCATGTCTGCTGCTCCGCATGCTTCTGCGTCTCGGATGGCTTCAGGGAGGCTCCAAAGGGCATCAAGACAACCTCAAAGGACAAAAGAGGCTCCCATGACGGCCCTCGACTGCCCAAGGGAGCCCCAAGGCGTCCAAGGAGCCCCCGAAGATTGCCCAAGACTACTGTCCCCGAGAATGCCCCAAGACAGCCACAATGTCCGAGCAGACGGCTCCTGCATGGTGCCACCGAGCCTCCTCGGAGAACACGGTCGAACCGGTGCGCACAGCAGGACCCCAAGACCGCAAACAGACACCGACACGCCTCCCAGAAGTCCCCAAGAGGCCCTCGACCAGAGGGGGGTCCAAGACGAGGACTCCCAAAGGCCCAAAGAAGCACCGACGAGGCCAACAACACCCCCAAAGTGAACGCGACAAGAAAACTCAACGTTGTTGACACACTGCGCTGCAGCTTCTTAGCACGGCTTACAAGACGGCCCAACGATGACGCCACCGAGAAGGTTCGAGAGAGCTCGGTAGACCCATCCTGTGCTATTTTCGATGCTGCGCTGGCACGGTGGCAGAGTTTGCTGGCGGCAAGCAGCTGGACATGTGATGCAGATCGAGAACAAGCTTGGTAGTGGCACTTAAACCGAATTGCATTGAACTTGAACTGGACTTGCAAAGGCACACATTCAGCAGTAAGATTGTGAGTATATGCTCGAATTCTGTCTTACTTCTGGACCCAACGGCTGGGTTACGATGGTACCCGCGGTCGAATTGCAATCAATGGGAACACATGGAAGCATACGCAGGCAAATCAAAAGGGGCAATTGGGCGAATTGAAATATTCCCGGATGATATCAAGTAAAACTGAGAAGCGCTCCAGAACGCTCTGGAACGGGTTCATCCTCATCTGAGCCCCGCCCGAAAATTGCACCAGCAAGCAATTTGACCTCGCAGAGGCCACCTCCAGATCTCATTGTAGGCCTCTGGAAGACTTCCACGGCCCGTAGGACTCGCCAGAAGGAGCACAACAACTCCCTCTAAGGCCTCTTCAGAATCCCTTGGAAGCCATCTCTGGGTGATCCTGGCCGTCTGAGAGGGGGCCTCGCAAGGTCGGCCACCTTCACTGCCCCAGGGGGCTCGCAGGGCCCAGATCCCAGTTTCGGCCACTTGAGACGCTGATGTTTCTCATCCTGTCTTCCAGAAACCGCCCGATTTCCAAAGGCGCCTAACTTCGCGCTTCGCACAGCGCGAAGCGCCAAGCGCGAATAACTCCGCGCTCTCGCGCCGGCCCCCAGGGGGGCAAAGGAAGATGAAGAGGAATCGGAGCCGAACCGCGAAGCGCGAAGCGCGAACAACTTCGCGCCCTCGCGGGCGCCCTTGGAATTCGGCAGACAGAATGAACGACTCAAGCCTTCTGAGCCGCGCGCGAGGCGCACATGCAGAGCAGACAGACGGAGCAGCCCACATAGCGCGACGCGCGAGCATCTTCGTGCGACTGTAAAGGTCGAAGAGACGGGGAGCGAGACCTTTGGTAATGATGTCGGTGATGGTGTCGATTCTGGCGTCGGTGCTGGTGTCGGCGCTGGTGTCGGTGACGGTGTCGATGCTGGTGTTGGTGCTAGTGCCGGTGTCGATGTTGGTTCTGGCGTCGGCGCTTGTGTCGGTGTTGGTGTCGGTGTCAGTGTCGGTGATGGCGTCGGTGGTAGTGATTCTGGCGTAGGTGCAGGTGTCAGCGCTGGTGTTGGTGCCGATGATGGTTCTGGCGTAGGTGCTGGCGTCGGTGTTGGGGTGGGTGATGGTGTTGGTGGTGGTGGTGCTGGTGTCGGTGATGGCGTTGGTGCTAGTGTCGGTGCTGCTGTCGCTGGAGTCGGTGCTGGCGTCGGCGCTGGCGAAGGCGCTGGTGTCGGCACTGGTGTCGGCGCTGATGTCGGGGCTGGTGTCGGTGCTGGCGTCGGCGCTGGCGTCGGCAATGGCGTCGGCGCTGGTGTCGGTGCTGGTGTCGGTGGTTGCGTCGGCGATGGTGTAGGTGCTGGTGAAGGCGTTGAGGTGGGTGCCGGCGTCGGACCTGGCGTCGGTGCGTGCGTTGATTCTGGTGTCGGTGCTGGCGTCGGTGCTGGTGCCATTGGCGTGCAGCCTGCCATCGCCAAGGCTGCGCTCGTGTCCGACACACTTACCTTCGCGTAGGTCGCGACGTCGATGCTGCAGACATGAATCCATATGCTAGGCTCCACGATTTCGATGGTATTTCCATCTGCCAATGTCGTCCACATCTCAGTCTGCGCGTTAACATCGGACTGGAAATGAACATGAACGCGGTCTGCCAATTGAAGATAACCCGTGCCGAAAGGTGTGCACGGTGTCGCCGAGGTGCACAAGAACTTGTCAAATAGGCCCATGTCCGCCGCCGCACTAGCAATGCGGTAAGAGTATGTGCACGCGTGCGTGATTGCGTGATCTATGTCTCTATATATCTCTCTATCTCTCTCTCTCTCTCTATCTCTCATCATTTCTGCGCTTCTGTTTGTGTGTGCGTGTGTGTGAGCGTGCGCTTGTGTGTGTGTTGTGTATGCGTGTCTTTGTTATGCCCGTGTGTTTGTGTTGTGCGTGAGAGTTCTGATTGTGCCTGTGGCTGGTTCTGAATGTGGTTGTGATTGTGGGTGTGTTTGCATGTGTGGTTGTGTTTGCGTGCGCCTGTGTGCGGCCTGTGTACATGCGTCAAACACCTGACCAACTTCAGCCCAACATGGCATCCGACACGTTTAAACTCAAGTCTAAGCGTTTTTGCCTTCCCCGTGGCGTGGCCAATGGCACAGGACATCGACCCCCTGGGGCTCCCCGGCACTCTCGGGGCAAGCTTCTTTGTTTTTTGAGGGAGAAGTAAAGGGACAGCTGAAAGGCAAAGAACGGACAAAATAAATCGCAAGACCCAACAATGCGTATCTGGGCAACCCCACGCAAACACCACCGACAACATTAGCACCACCGCGACTTATCCAATGACAGGCGATGTTCTGGAATCGCCAATCCAAACGAACTTTGGCAGTAGAAAGCACGAAAATGGGAACAAGGCAACGCACACACGATTGCATCCTGGCGGCGGCGTAATCGCTCAGAGGGGCGGCGCGCTGGAGGCGTGCGACCCCTCTTCTGAAGCCTTCATACTGCAGTAAACCCCAACGGACGGGAGTCGCCAGGGCACGAAGACGCAACCCACTGGCAACCCAAAGCGCGTTTACAAGCCAATTCGAGGAGGAGCGTCAAGGAGAAGTAAAAGGTATAAGAGAAGGACACAACGAAAGAGATCGTTGTTTTATCCATTGGAGATAACCACATGTTACCATGGGAGGGGTCGGCGGCGGGAATGTAACGGAAACGGCGGCCGACGTGCACCCCGGAAAGGCGCGCCCGCAACACTGGCGCAACGTAGGTGTGTTTACGACAACGCCTGTGCGCAGTACAGCCCCTGTGTACACCACACTGCCTCTGTCCACCCGCGTTCAGCAAAATTAACTGAAAGTGGGCTCGTCGCGGCCCCCCTGGAGAGAACGGGCGCGCATCGGCGGCCCGTCAATGGCCTCTTCTCCGGTGCAGCGCAACTGGCGCGCGCACGCCAATTTTCAGCACGACGGGCGCTCCGGCCAGCCGCCTACCGTGACCCATCCCAGGCGAATGGTGAACGACCTCCTGTCGAGTTCAGCTGGCGCGGACGCAAATTCACAGCACTACGGCGCAGAACTGCACCAACATAACCCGATGACGGCCCCAAGTTGGCTCGAGACGACCTCACTGCCGCTCAGGGACAGCCCTCGGAATTCCCGAGACGGCCCCAGGACACCGCCAAGATTCGAAAAAACGCTGCTGACGGCGCCAAGACTCCAAGAAGGCTATTTGGGAATGTCTGGGGTCCTCGAGAAGCCAAGAAGAAGTCCTCGGGGAGGCGAATCAGATCAACACGCGTGATCGCTCCTCATGTTAACGTTTGTCCGAGGGGCCCTGACTTCGTTTGTGAAAGAAGGGCCAGTGGCAGCCAAGGCCATTCAGGACGAGCTAGTGGAAACGTGAAGCCGAAAAAAGAGCTCTGTGTGTATAGGGCAGTGAAGGTAAGAAGCCATGTGCTTTTAGAGAGTAGGACGTCGCTCCGAGCAGATTGGCACATGTAAGTGCAAGCTAATCATGGCGAAGGGCCAAACGCGTTTCGAGGGCGCCTGCCACACACGCGCCGCGGGCGGAGACCCCACACCGCGGGCAGCCACTGAGGCCGAAACAAGACTGAGCAACCCGTACTCGGGCAGCGTCATGTCGACCTGGCGGACAGCGGGCCTCAGCTACCCCGCGGATACGCAGTCTCACGGATACGTTCCGGTCGGGGCATCCGCGAAAAAGCGCTTCGCCTCCGCGGGATCGCGACCCAAGGGACTGGCCCGCGAGGCCGCGGATACGGATATGTTGTTCGCTCGCGAAGGCCAGCGCAGGAATCGGACGCGAGCTGGGCGTAAAAGTCGGCCAGGCGAGTGGAGGGGCCTGCCCGGATGCTCCAGCGGTCCGACCCGCCCAGGGTCCTGAGTCGCATCACGGGCCAGGCGAGTGGAGAGGCCTGCCCGGATGCTCCAGCGGTCCGACCCGCCCAAGGTCCTGAGTCGCATCACGCCGCCGTCGCACACAGCCTGCATAAGCTGGACCGGGAGGCGGTGCGCGACGTACGTCTGCCTGCTGCCCAGCGGTGGAATGCGCAAGGCCTCTGGCACAGCGGCGAAGCGCGCAAACCTGCGGCAAACACCGCACGCGATGGCGGCCGTGTCACTTCTCAGCAGCGCAAGGTCCAAAAAATACCCAGTGGACACATGCGTGTAAGTCGTCTCCGCAAAGAGCGCCGGGATGCCACACTGCCCAGAACTGTTGAAACCGGAAGCCACGGTCATCTCGTCGCTCCTGAGAATCCCTCTGTAGTGCGATCCAGAGCCCGTAGCACGAACAAATCTCTATGGGGCACGAAACGTGTGAGGGGCGCGCTGAGGGTAGAATGTGGAAAGACGAGGCAGGGAGGGGAGGGGTATGGGGAGCACAGGCAGGGCGAGAGGGAGGCGCGCACACATACACACATGCATGCAGACATACCGAACCACATCCACACACACACACACATATGTTTGTTTGGCTTCGAGGCCACGCGCGCCTCGGGGCAGCGTAGAGCAGGTCGAGCGAGAGCCAGAGGCGCGCACGGGCACACTCAGATCACGCGGCGTGGAGGTATTGGATCCACCCACGAAGGATTCACAGCGCATCACCCGAGGGGGGGCAGAGGGCAGACGCGAGAGGAGCAGCGGGGGAGAGGGGAGAGACGCGCGATGAAAACAGCAGAGGAGCAGCGCCGCAAAGCGGGAAAGGGCAGGGTGGAGGCGCAGCGGCCGGCAACGGCGGCGCACTCGAGGAAGCAGACAGCAATAGCGCCCCGTAGACAGGAGGGCACAGGAGGGCGACAGGGACAGCGACAGCAGGTGGGGTGGATGAACACATACGCATCTACATACGGGCATACAAAGTATACCTGCGCACCTGTCCATCTACCTATACAGACAAATACATGTAGAAACCCGCAGACCTGCACATATACATATACATATACGTTTGCGTAAATATATGTATAGATGCACCCACGTGTACACATACATACATAATGTATATACATATAACAGAACCATCGCACGCTATTTGCCCGCGCGATGGGTCTAGCGCAGGCCGGGGGGCGCTGGAAAAGCCTGTACAGCGCGTTCATGCAGAAAAGCGTGCCATGGTCGTACCCATTCTCACCCTCGTCTCCATTCCCATGATCATACTCCTCCACATCCACATCATTCGCCTATAATCATGACCAGAATCATCATCAACAACAACATCATCATGGGGAACAACCTTGGCCCAGTGCTGCTGGACATGCCGTCAGGTCAAACTCGCGTACCATCACCATGATTATGCTCCTCCTCCTCCTCAACATCATCATGCGGATCCCGAGATTCATCGGGATAAGCATCTATATTCTCGCTCACATTATCAGCATCAGCATCACATCACCATCATCATCATCAGCATCATCATCAGCAGCAGCATCAACATCATCATCATGCGTTCGTGAAGTGGGTGAAGTGGGATTCCGTGAGCTGAATTATGTTTGTTTGTTGCTTGTTGTTGTTTGTTGATGTTGATGCTGTTTGCTGTCGTCGTCCGACCCTCGAGCCCGAGGCGACCCACCCGCGACACACCCCGTGACCTACCCCACGACCCACCCACTCCCAACCGCGAACCACCCGGGAACCACCCGCGACCCACCCCGCGTCAGACCCCTCACTCTTATCCGCAATTGCGGAGAGAAACGTATAAATATTTATATATATATATATATGTGTAATCGAGTTCTGAGCCGCGACCATAAGAACACGTTTAAATAAGGAGCACGGCAACCCCAAGTGGCGGATGCTCGCGTCAGCGCACCTAGATAATGTTCATTGAATGTGTTCGAAATGCCGTATAGGCTTGGCGTGGTATCAAGACGGAAGGAGAGGTAGAGGGCACCCTCGCCTGCGACAGACTGTGTCTGTCCAATACATTCGTCGCACGGGATCTTCACCATCAAAAATTCGGGCCCATCTGGTCCCTCATTGAGGGGAGAAAGCTTGACCACCGTGTGGTCAGACCCTCGCACAAACTCCACCACCTCGGCCCCTGTCAGCCAACCGAGCCTGTAGCGCGTGACAGCATTGGGGTCCGAATACTTCGGTGCCCTTTGATCACAGAAGGGCCAAAACACGACATGAGCATAAACTGTCCTGGGTCCACGCGGATCTCGGAGCTGGGCCACCCCCGCAAACAGCCCTTTCCCGGCGCGCGGCGCGCCGGGGGCGGCGCCGGAGGCGCCGCCAGAGATGGCGGGGAGGGATGGCAAGCGCAGACCCAGGATAGCTGCCGGATCTCCGAGAGGCTGTGCTTATGCCGTGTGTTGGTCTTCTAGATAACCCATTATCGCATCGTCGAGGTACTCGCTGAACGTCCCGTCAGCGTTGTACCCTCCGCAGTGGACGAGTCCCCAGTTGTGCCCAACCTCGTGGAAGAACGTCTGCCAGGTGATGGCCTGGCCCTGATACTGGGACCACCCGTTCCAGCTCCCGGAGGATGGCAAATAAGCACTGGCCTTGCTGGCGGCGCACGAGAGGAGGCAGGGCGAGGGGGGCGGCCTCTCAACAGGGCGGGGCGCTTCTTAGAAAAATTCGAAGTCACTCCACGGCGGGTTCACGTCGTGCCGACCCCGACGTTGGTCTGTGACACCACGTGGATCGTTCCAGCATGGACGATCGGCCGTTTCTGAACGGGCAGTCGTTTCCACCTATGACCCCGCACGTTCCTAGGCGGGGTGGGTCCATCGGACCCCTATCAGCGATCAACGGGCGGTCGATGCATCACCCCTATGCCTGTCCCCCCCCTGTCGCTGCCCCCCTGGCGGCATTCAACATTGAACGCTGGCGGCGGGGTCGCCGCCAGTCGACACGACGCGAACCTGCCGACGAGCAGAAAGGCCGCTCCCCTCGCCCACACCCTTGTGCGCGCTGCCAACCCTGAATGTGCTCCCAGGATACAGCACCATGACATTCGTGTAACTTCTGGTCTGGTACTGCGTCATAAAAGCACCGTGCTGGCTTACGCTTCGGTACACGTTCCACAGGCTGCTCCCCCAATTCGCAGGGTCTACAGGCGCTTCCATGTGGAAGAAGTCTACACTGTCGGCGTCCAACCAGAGCTTGTGCCACGAGCTGTGATACAAAGAGTCGTTGAAGCCTGGAACCTGCCAGAAGAGATCCTGAACACCTGCGAGGCTCAAAGGGTCAGGGTATCCAGGTGTAGCACCATTATACGTCATGTAGACGACGAGGATCGGACCGTACGACCCCGATGGCGACACCATGGATCCGGTTGCTCCAGACGGGGCATACTCTGCGTCGTCCGGATGGGTGTCCAAATACTCATTGAACAACTCTTCTGGTGTTATCGGTGAAGAATGCTCGTGTGTCCGTGCAGGTGAAAGTTCGGGTCGAAAGTGAAGCGACGGCCGCAACTCGTCGCCTCCGCTGGGTATCACGTGCACGCTGGCCACCTCCCTCACGTTGCAGGCGCAGGTGGCCGCAACAATATGTAAGAGTGATAACGTCATCGACGCTTCGATTGGCGAAAGACTGCGTCGAAAACGTGAAAGGAAGTGAATCTAGTACGCAAGGGTACTTGACCCGAATGCTATGGAGAACCACTCGGGGGGATCTTGAGTGGGAATTTGTCGGGGCATGTTGGGAGCGTGCTGAGTGCCTGTTGGGGCCTTGGAGCTGCCGTGGCAGGAGAGCCCTGAATCGAATCGACAAGTCGGATCAGCGATCGAAATGGATCGGATCGGCAGGAATCGCAACCAAATCGGGAAACATCGAATCAGAGGAAATCGGCACGCTAGTAAGGCCTCCATTGAGGAATCGGAATCCAGATCGGAATACGAAGTCAAATGATCGGGGCCGAAATCCATCGAAATCGAATCGGATCGGAGGAGTCGAACTGAACCTGGCCGTGGCGCTGCCTTGGCGAATCCCCACCAGTGCAGCCGAGGGCGGCGTGAAGGGCGTGCGGGTCAGAAAGGCGCCCGTTGGCCATCCTGCAGCACTCGTCAGCAAAAAGCGGACGACCTGTTGAAACCCGCTCCAATAACCGCAGGGCCAGTCCAATGTCGGCACCAGACATTTAGCTCTGGCGCCAGGGCGTCTGAGGTCCGACAACCCCATTCTCAGCATTGAAAAAACGCGCCCTGCAGCTGGCGCCCGAGACGATGGATCCCCACGTAAATCATGTGTGATGTACGTATGTGACGAGGCGCGGAGACCCCCTCCGTTTGCGCTGCGGGCGGACGGCGCGCGAGGGGGCGACGAGCACCCTCGTGGAGCAGAGACGCACGCCCGGCACATCCTTAGGAGGATGAGCCGCGGCAGGACTCTCACAGGGATGAGGCGTGCGAGGCCAGATGGCAGGGTCGGTCGGAATCGGATCGGGAAATCGGGTCGACGAGAAGTGTACAAACCGGCCTGTGGAGCAGGACCCAGAAGCAACCGCACCCTTCAAAAGAAGACACGGCTCTCCTTGTCATGGGGGTCGGCGTAAACCTTTTGAATCCCACCAGCCCTTCAGGGCCTGAATGGTTTAGAGAGTTTCCTCTTCCAACCCCCTTTCCCCTTTGGGGAAGGGTGTACCCCTCCCCCTCCTCCCTGGACCTGAAGGCGGGGGGATCGCGACCAGGTAGAGCGTCCGAGGTGGCCTCGGCGAGAAGACCAACATCATTGAGTTTGCTAAGCGTGTGGCCCAGTTTGGGTCTCCTGTGGGGCAACGCAAATTAGTACGCCCCGTTCTCTGATCGAACTCCCCCCAGATGGCCCCCAGATGGCCCCCAGATGGCCCCCAAGAGAGCTTCAAGAGGGCCCCAAGAGGCGCCCAGGAGGCCCCAAAAGGCCCCCCCGAGGCACCCAAGACGCACCAAGATGCCCCAGGGGCCGCCAAGAGCCCACCAAGACGCCCCAAGCGTGCTCCAAGAGGCTCTCGTGACATCCAGGAAGACTCCGAGAGGCCTCTGGCCTTTCTGGTCGCCTTCCTCCTCCTCCTCCCTCTCTCCCTCACTCCCTCCCTGCTCCTTCTCCTCCTCCTCCTCCTCCTCCTCCTCCTCCGCCTCATCCTCCTCCGCCTCCTACTAGTCCCCCTCCTCTACCCCTCGCCCTCCTCCTCCTCCTCCTCCTCCTCCTTCTCCTCCTCCCCCTCCTCATCCTCATCGCCCTCCTCCTCATCCTCCTCTCCTCGTCCTCCTCCTCCTCCTCCTCCTCCTGCTCCTGCTCCTCCTCCTCCTCCTCCTCCTCTTCAGGCACCTGTGCCGCTGGGTCCCCCTCCCAGGAGAACAGGCGGGTAGCAGCCCGCTCGTCACCCCTGCTTGCCCGTTGGGGGCCAGGGGGAAAGAAACTTCCACTCTCCTCGCCGTGCCTCCCCTTGCGGTGGCCTGGCGTGTACACCGCGCGCGCCTGGGCGGGAAGCCGGGCCCCCTGCGGGTGGCTTATCGGTGAGCTAACACCCATCTTTCCCACGGCCAGGGTGCCCCGCCCTGGCGTGCGTGGGGGGGTGCGGTCGCCCGAGCGAATAGTGCCACACGGGAGGCCTGGGGCGACACGGCCAGACAGGCGTGTCATAAGCTGAGCTTGGATGCGGCTCGAAACACAGCAAGGGTGTGAGCTTGAGGGGAGGAAGCCGCCAAGGCCTTGTCAGCTCTAGGGTGAACGCATTGCTCTTGTTCGGAATCGTCTGAGGCCTCTTGTTCGGAAACGTTTTCAAGAAGGCTTCAAGAGGGCCCCACGAGGGACCCCCACCCTCTCAGGCCGTCTGGGAAGGCCCCTAGAAATCTTCAAGAGAGGTCCAAGAGGGTCCCAGTAGAGCCCCGGTAGTCCTAGACACATCCCAGACTTCAGTGCGAGAGCATCTTCCAGGTCTGCTGCAGATGACAACACGAAGCCCCGATACGGTCTCTGAAACCAAATCTAATCAGGCACAATTCCACTCCGCGGGAGTGCTGCTGCTACATGTGACGACGGGGGTGACCAACACGCCAATGACGACTCGTCTCAAACAAAAAACATAACCGTATTTTTTCTGACCGATTGATATCTTGGAACACTGAAACGGAAATCCAGGTGGAATCCTGACTGCCTCAACACGGTCCTGACACCTCCATTTCTTCTCATCCTCCCCCTCCACCTCCACCTCCACCTCCTCCTCCTCATCCTCCTGCTCCTCGCGGAGGTCACGGCTGGCCTGGTGACCGACGTCATGGACTCCGTGATCGCCCCGGGTTCGTGCGTGTCCGCGTCCAGCGTGATGGTGACGTGGAGGTCCTGCAGCTGGCTGCGGATGTGATGCTGGTGGAAGAGGCAAAGTAGGCGGAAGAGAAGGCAAGTAAACGAGGACTAAAACGAGGAGCAATTGGATCGATGGTGCTGTGACCCGGGGGGGCGCAAGCACACGTGACACACGCTCTCCGCATGATACGGTGTCAGAGGCAGCACTAGCGCGGCCTTCTCCCAAATGCTGGGCCGCGGCCCGATTTGAAACCGTGTAAGCATTGCCGGGGCATGTAAAAGTTTCAAGTACCTACGTTTCCCCGTCGCCGCCGCCCCAGGGCCGTCCATGGCGCCGAACGGGGTGCGCGGCCCCGTGATCTGCACCGCGATGACGAAGCCTTTCGCCACGGGGTCGTCGTCATCCTCCTCCTCCTCCGCCTCCTCCTCCTCCTCCTCCTCCTCCTCCTGCAGGGGAGCGCCCAGGGGGGCGCGCGGCTGTGAAAGCGGCCTCGCGTGGCGGGCGAGGTCCGTGCAGCAGGACCGCGACGCGCGACGCGTTCAGCCTGGCACCCTTGCGCCCTGGTGCCGTGCCCTTGCAGACGGGCAGCCGCTCTGGCCCAGGCCGCGGCGCACGAAGCGCCTGGTCCTTTTCGGTCACCCAGAGGCTCCAGGGATTTCCGAGGACGTCCAGGAACCCCGAGGGCATCTGGGCTTCTCCTCTGAGGGGTCCGTACATTGGGCCAGTGCAGATAGGGGTCCCGAAGATCGCACTGCGTGGCCGAGGACGAAACCTCGGCAATGCGGAGAAGATTCTGGTTCGGGATCGCGGAAGTGCGAGACACGTGCAACCACGACCACTGCATGTCGACAATAGCCCTTCAGCACCTCCCTGACCCGCGCGGCGGGTTGACGTCGCGAAGACGTCGACTTTGATTTCCGACGCCAACTGGACCGCTCAACCCCGAGCGACCGCGGCACTTCGAGAGCGCAGATCGCCCCAAATCGGCCAGCTCTGAGCCGCTGGCGGCGGTCAACCGCTGAACGCCCGCGCTGGGGCTACCGCCGCATCAGCGCGGCCCGAACCCACTATGCGGCCGGGACTGATCGCAGAAAACACCCGAGAAGGCGCTAGCCTCTTCCGAGGGCGACCCGTGCTCCAAACAAGACGACGGCACCCGACGCGGTAATTAGGCAGAACACAGGGCGACCTACGATGCGTCACGGGAAAAGCGAGGCATCGGAAAACTGCCCCGGCCAACCCCATTCCCCTTAGATCCTGGCGTCCCATTTTGTTCGAACCGGGCGTTTTCACATTTTTGTTCCTGGCCTCGGGACTCTCACAGATCGATCCGTCTCGAAAAAATCCGCCGACCCTGTCGGCGTGTGCGAGGGGCTCGGCTGTTCGAGTCGTCGTCTCCGTCGGTCGTCGCCTCCGTCGTTACCGTTCCCTGCAGCTTCCTTCTCAAGCTCGTGAGCGAGAGAAAAATCGAGCAGTGTCGTAGTCGAGTCGAAGGGAAGCCCCTTCCCTTTGATCCCTTCCCCAGGGGGGGGGGTCCCAAGGGAGGTCCCGGGGGGGGTGGAGGGGGGGGTCCCGGGAGGGGTCCCGGGGGGGGTGGGGGGGCAGATTCGTTTTTCCTCGGGCGGCCTAGAAACCTCGAAAACACTCCAAACGATGTCCGAATGCCCCAGATGGCCCCCGAGACGGCCCAAGAGGGCCCCGAGTCGCCCAAAGATCGGCCGAAAACGCCCAAGATAGCCCCAAGACCGTCCAAGAAGCCTCCAAGACGTCCCAGGCCCCCTCCAAGAGACCCCCAGGAAGCCCCAAGAGGCCCCCACGAGGCTTCCAAGCGGCCCCTAAGAGCTTCCCAAGAGGCCCACAAACTACCCCCAAGAGGCCCCCAAGAGTCGTCGTCGTCGTCGTCGTCGTCGTCGTCGTCGTCGTCGTCGTCGTCGTCGTCGTCGTCGTCGTCGTCGTCGCCATTCAGGGTCGGCGGCACCGGCCGTAAGGCCTTCGCAATACTCAGAAAGATGGGGCCTAGGGCTCTGGGCGTGACTTTTTAAGATGTTGCAGCTTTTTCGCTACGTCGGATATCAGGGTCAGGCCAATCCTTGGTTGCCAATGCGGGCCAGCCCTCCGGGCCAAACCCTCAGGGTAACTCTCTCCAGAAAGGTGTACTCCTGATCAGGCCCGACTGCACACACTTGGTGACAGTGGCTCTCTGCTACCGCTCCCCCGCCACTCCCCCCCGCGCTCTGGGGAAACCAAAAGTACCAATACCGCTACTCCCCCGACCTCTCCTGGGCC